ATCAATTTGAAAATGTAATTTACTTTTAGATAGTAACGAGATTAACTTGTGTACAGTGATGACAACGAATGAAAACATTTTAACATTGCCTTCATCTTTCTCATCATCATCCTCATTATCATCATTGAACTTTTTGTTATTTGAATTAAAAAGAAGATATCATCTTGTAATCCATTCACGACTCTCTTCATTCAATTTTGGGTTCGATGAATGAACAACTTTACTTGCCTTCACTCTTGTCCCTCATCCTAAGCATCATTATTAATCTTGAACCATTTTCCTTCTGCTCATCATCATTCTCATTATTTTCATCATTATCTTGAAAATTATTGTCTCTGCAGTTTCTCTCTGTAATAATGAGAAACAATCCTCTTTCGCCTCTCACGCGTCTCTATTAAGGTACACTTTTTAAAAAATGTTATGATGCTTCAATTGATTCTGATTGAATCAATGGTTAACCATCTTATTGCGAGTTTTATGGAGCCAATATAATTATATAAGCCAATTATGTCTAAATCTGTCACATTTCTTTGTCTAATTCATTTCACAATTACAATAGTTTTACTCGGTTGCTCACTCTCTCTCTGCTGCACACCTGATTTCACCCAAAATTATCATCTCTTTATCCATCCTTATCGATAAAAGGATTTCTCCTCTTTTCTCCAACATTTCAAATTGCTATTCATTACATCTTCCATTAGCTAATAGCATCTCTTTCATATTCACCATTACCATCATCATCATCATCAAATAATTGCATATAATCGCAATAATATGAAACCAATGAAATTTCACGAACAAGTAAACTAAAATATCATTAATCGAATCTGGTATTAACTTTACGATCAAATAAATAACCATGAATACTCGAGATTTTATGGAAACATTTTTTTCTCTTCAAGTTTAAACCTTTTTTTGAAATCCTTTTTTATGCACTTAGAGTTAAACCAATTACAATTTACACTTGCTAATGAATATAATTATGTAAACTTATTTTCAGATTGACTGGAAAATAGTTTTTTTAAAGACAAACATCAAAAACAAATTAACGATAATTTGAACTTTTTTTGCCTCTTTTATTGAAATGGTTCAATATATTAAAGAGCAAAATTGATAAACATCAAAATGACTATCAAAATGTAGACAAGTTTATTTCAGTTGAACATTTCAAAATGTTGAATCTTTTCAAATATTGTTGATATTGAAAACTTATCAAATCGACTGTTTCCCAACTGAAACAATAATTATTCAATTTAAACAATTTTCATCACTCCAAGAACTCGACTTTGTCACTCCAAGATTCACTCTTTTCCCCATTCTTTTCCTTTCCTGTCAACCTTTTTTTTTTGTCTTGTTCCTCTTCTTTTCCCTCATTTTATACAATTTTTTACTTCCATCAAACTGAATTTACCTATTCATCTTTTGCTATTACTTATACTCTGTTTACGCAGTGAAAGGTTTACTCATCATCAGATGATGATGATAATGAAAAAAAAAGATGAGTAGCATAAAGAGACAAAAGATGAGAAAGAAAACTTGTCGACTTTTCAACCTTATTTTTTGAATTGTCAACAAGCTTTTTTTACGTTTTTTGTTTCCTTGCTGCTTTTCACTTTGGTAAACAAAGTGAGAAATGGAAGCACAAAATGTTGAATCGATTTTCATGGAAATCCATTGAACCGAATAACATGGCAATAATAGCGCCCATATAAACATTGTATGTGAACCTATTTGACTCTGTACAAGTTTTGCCCTTCACATAATCCTTATTAAGTTGAAAGGTTACCAAAAAATGTTACTTTTTTACTTTTCTCTGGTTTAACCCAAATTCAACCCATTTTCAGTCTTGTATTCACCATTAAACTCTCATCAGCTTTACTTTTATGTTTCACCCAAAATTTTTCATTCACCTTTTTCTTCGCCATGAGAACAAAAATCAATTTTTCTAATCTTTCTTCATTTTCTCTCTCAATTATCATTATGAAGCTATCAAGTTTTTTTTCTCTGCTTTCAGGGTTGCAATAATTTTCTTCAGGGATAATCACTGAAACAGCATAATCATTGGTTGATTAGTCCTTGATGAGTGCAGATCAACAGCAACAAGACAAGAAGAGCAAATCAAATCAAGTTTCAATAACATTTTTGTGACTTCACTTTATTATTCATTTCAACTTTTCTTCCGTTGCTATAAATAATGACAAATCATTATCAAATGTTACTCCATTATTTCATTCCATTTTTCAGTTTCCCATTCAATTTCATTCAAGGTTCTCTGTGTTGCCAACTAACATTGTTTTTCTTCCAGTTATTGTATCGCCATTTTTTTACTCAACCCTCTTCACGTTTACTTATTACATTGTTGCTGTTACTCTTGCTCTCTTCACTGGTTACGTCTTTTGCCGTTGAAAGTTAATCAACATTACAAGTTAATTTGATACCTTTAATAACCTTTCTACTTGATTATTTCTGTCAACTTATTGTTAGATAACTTTAAATTGCAAAATGTAATCAATATCTTGATCGCGCTCCCTTTTTACCTTTTTCATCTAATCAAATATATAAATGCTTTCTATCAAATTATTATCATTACCATGCTAAGTTGAAAAGGAAAGGATGGAAAAAAGAAAAAGTTTTTATTTTCTTGAATGAAACAAAGAAGAGCAAAATATTGTTTGAAATAAATCATTTTTTCCACTTTTACTATTCCACCTGAGAAACTATTACAATTTATTATCATTTTTTCAATAAAAAAGCACAAAATTACCTGATAAATTCTGAACAGGCTGAAGGGAAAAAACAAATGAAACTTATTGATTTTCAAACAGAAAACGTAATTTTCATCCAATATTTTCATCATTACTTTTTGCTGTATTGTTCACTGTTTGAACACGCAACTAGAAATGATGAAATTCATGTCTCTATGTTTGTCGGGCTTATTGATGGTTCTATTATTATCAAGAATATGATTCAATGAATTTTTTGCCTGAAAAAAGGCGAAACTTGAGTGAGAAGAATCAAGTGAAACTAATATGATAATGGTGATTAACATTGAAAAGGGTTTGGAGTTGAAAGTTGATGCGCCAAGAGTGACTCTCTTAGGTTACAAAACCTCTCTTCTTATGGGGTAATCACGAGTAAAGACGAAGATAAAGATTATTGAAAAAATACTTTTGGTTTACATCATTTTCAAATGTAAACTTCATACCATTTGAAGTGATGAGAAAGAAAGGAGGAGAAGAGAGAAAAGATGAAACTGGCAATGACGATCATTATCATGATTATCAAGAAAAATTTAGAGGCAGGTCAACCTAATTAGCAGGGAAACAAACATTGTTAGCAACCTTTTAATTAGCGTGTTTTCTGCCTTTTACAATAAACAGTTCTTATGGCAAAAATATTTGAACCTTTTCTTTCCTTCTCATCCATATTATTATTTTTATGTTCATCATTATGATAAGCATTCCTAATAGGACTGATATTCTGCTGTTTTCGACATTAAATTAACATGATATGATAATGGTTAGAGGAATGAAAAAATGAAGATGAGCATGGAACAAGAAGAAAAGGATAATATTTATCATCGTTTTTTCTCTTTTTCTCTCTCTTCTCTCTCTTTCCTTGTGATTTACAAGTCATCATTTTAAGTTATTTATATGTTTCTTTTTGCTCGGCTCACTTTCCCCAAGAACAATAATATTATTAATAATCATGATAATAAACAAAAAGTTGCCTGAAAATTTATCTTTTGTTTGAATTTTTGAAACTTTTTATTCCTATCAGTAAACACACTATTCATTTATTCCTCTCGTAATATTCACAATATTATCAACAAAATTTTTTCTTCTTTACCATCATTTTCTTCATGTCATTTCGTTTTTCCCTTTCTCTTATCATTCCAAGTAAAAGTGAGCAACGAAAAATTATTAATGATATTTATGATAACTTTTCATGTATTTTCCAGCATACATTTTCTGATAAAGCAACTGCTGTTACCAGACAATATTTTGAGTATCAACAATGAAGAGAATCAAGAAGAAGAGACTTTTTTTTTAAAATTGCACCAAATTTTTGAGTTAACTTTTCACATGAAAAAAACGAAGAAAAACTGAGCAAAAATTCATTCTTTATCCTTTGTACTTGAAACTGGAAATATTTCCATTCAAGTTGATCATAATTTAATGATTTCTTTTTCAATCATCATTCCATTTTAATTTTTCACCTTCAATCAATAACTTTAATGGCTCATTTTCAAATTCTTGATATCATTCAATCTCTACTTTTATTAACCTTTTCCTTTATATCCATATCCATATATTGCATTTCATTGATGGTTGCTGTAATCATTTCTCATAATCGATAAACAATGAGCCAATTTTCATTTCGCTTTCTTTATTCATTTATATTGACATTTCATTGACCAAAATGTATCCATTGACCATTTGATAGTCTCTCTTTTTTTATTGTTTGCCATCTATTGACATTTACCATTAGTTTACTTGTTACTATCAATCGATAGCATTTAATTATTTACATTGTATCCAATTTGCATTGAAATGTTTTTATCCATTTCATGTCTTACTATTATTACATTTTAATGAAGACAAAATTGTATAACACTTGGACTAACTTTTGTTCAATCTTCAACCTTGTTTCTACCTTTCAATGTTTCCAATCTGGTTTTGTCTTCCTTTAAATGTTTCTCTTCTTTCTCTTTACATCCCATTTTCACTCTGGATTATATCTATTGTCATTTGACAGGTTAATAGTATTCAAGTCAACTTGTTACCTTTCTCTTTACACTCATCTTGGATTAAATTGAGCAAATTTTAAATTTAGATTGATTCTGTCAAAGATGAACTTCTTTGTCAAGTTTTGTTGAGCTTTGTATGTTTTGTTGCTTATGCTTTCGCTGTCAATTGTGCTTATTATTGTATTTTTTTTACTTATGATAAATTAATTTTTTTGGTTTTTCTTCTTTTCTTTTTTACCAATTGATTTAGGCACTTATTCAATGTCTGTGAAGAGCATCGATTCTGGTGTTGGCTATTGTTCAGCAGCTAGTCGATCCAATACACCTTCACCGACCACAATCAACGAAGATTCAACTGCCCCAATTGCCATTGAGATTAATAAGGATGATGAACAAATTAATGGATTAACAATCAATAAAGATGAAGGAATTGATATGGATGAAACTATTGATTTTATCATTGATGATCCAATACAAACCAGTGTTGAGGTAAGAATAGGAAAAGTTCTTAGTCTTAACAATCAATTTACATTTTATTAGATGATAATCAATGAAAATGGTTCCTTTCTGCTTCTTTCTCCTTGTTATCCAATTTTCATATTATTTCACCAATTTTTTTCTTCTCTTCTCCTTCTCATGATCTGAATAGAAAATTTGATTTAATGGATTCATATTTTCATTTAGATGTGCTTAGGTTTATGTGTTGAATTGAATTAACCAAAACATTTTATTTTTTCCTTTCTTTTATCGTCTGATTGTTTATTCATTTCATTTATCATTTCAATCTCTTCTTCTTTCTTTGTTAACAGAAGGCACGACGAATTGTGTTCAAATGTACTTGGCGTGGATGTGGCCTTCGATGTGATCTTGTTGAAGATATTGAGAAACATGTTAGAATAGTTCATCTTGGGTAAGTTTTATTGTCGAGATGAACTGATTCATTGAGAATTGAATTAATAAATGAATTTATTTGTTTGTTTACAGACGAAGTGAGGCGACCGGCGAAGATGATAATGATCATGAGGAAGAATTTTATTATGCTGAAATTGAAGAAGAGATGGAAATTGATAATATTAGTAGTAAAGAGAGTTCATGTTCTAGTGACAGTAGTCTGGGTCCTTTGTCACCCGTCTCGAGTTCACCAGAGTCACCTAACAGTACAAATTACAATCTAAGCCCAACACTCAGCTCGGCTTCCCTCCTTTTCTTTGCTCCTTCACCCACTTGGAGTCATCTTGATATGGCTCGACCTCCACACGAAGATCCTGAGTACCAAAAGCAACAAAAGCAACTTCAACAGCAACAACAACTACAACAAAACCAGCAAGTGCAAAATGTTCAACAGACAACTTCTGTGAATCAAACTATTCTCAGTGCCCAGATTAAACCGGAACCGGAAAGGAAGACAGTGATATCAAGCCCGATCAACATTCCCGGTATTTCGGTGGCCCATCGTTGGTCGACAAAAGTACGTGATTCTGCTTCTCTTTCATCGTCTTTCTCGACAAGTTGCAACTCAAGCTACTCATTTTCAAATTCCCACCACCACCATCATCATCTCAATAATCACATGCTTCATCATCATGCCAACAACAACAATAATCATCACTATAATCAATCTCAAGCATCTCTCCTTGCCTCAAGTCCAAGTCCAGTAAACCTTTTCTCGCCAAAAGCTCCTTCCAAAGTTATGCGATTAAGTAGCAACACATCCAGCCCGGTCAACATTAAGTCAACAAACAGCACAACCTCGGTAATTGCTGTAACCTCATTAGCCTCGTCATTAAGCGCAACCGGAACAGTAAACCTTGCCACAACCAGTGTCAACACCAGCAACATTAGCACTACCAATGGAGCAAACAGCAACAACATGAATGCCACCAACACTACCAGCATTACCATAAACCCAACCAATGCAAGTAACTCTAGTAATCATTCAAGTAACAGCAATCAGTGGACAAGCTTGTTGCAATCATCAAGCTCGTCGGCCACTAGCAAGGGTCATAGCATATCGCCAACCCGACGAACCCGAACCGAAACCAGAAAGTGTCGTAAAGTTTATGGAATGGAAAATCGTGATTCATGGTGTACTCAATGCAAATGGAAAAAGGCTTGCACTCGTTTTGTCGATTAAAGGAAAAGAGTGAAAATCGTGAAAAGAGAAAGAAAAAAAAGCAAGCGCAAAATTAGACAAAAAAAGATGATGACAAACAAGGAATGGAAAAAAAGCTTCAAATCGATTGCCATTCAAAACTTTCTCCTTTTATCCTCATCATTCTCTTTTATTCGCATCTTCTTTATCACAATTTGCCTTTCAAGTTTCTTTAACCCCTTTCTTTTCTTCTCCTTTTGCTTTCTCATAATTTTTTATCTTAATCTTTTTTCCATAATTTTCTCTTTTCCTTTGCTTCTCTAAATCATGTTTCATCTTCCCTGATAAAACACACTTCAAACCGCATCAGTTTAATCACAGAAAAACAAAATCTTCGCCTTGCTTTGCCTTCTCAGCTTCTTCTTTTCCTTTTCCTTTCTCTTCTAATTTTCGCTCATCACTCAATATACACTCATCATTTCCTTTTCCTTTCTTTCTTTGCTTCCTTTCTACTTCATTTTTCTCTTGTTTCTTCAAAACTCAATAGATTTTTCATTACACAGCATCGAAAATCAAGTTGTACCTTGTTCTCAGCATCTTTACTCATGAAATCAACTTCGATTAAAAAATTGAGTCAGCCATAAAGATCATGAAATTCACAGTCAAACTGACCAAGAGCAATCCAAGATTTTGTCTTCTCCAACACCGAATACTTTGTGATAAATTTCATGATCTTTAATGAACGACTGTTTTTCTGAGTTGAATCTGCTTTCGATGAGCAAAGATGCCAAAACAAGGCACAACTCAATTCGCGCTGCTGAATATATTATACATTCAGATATTTTTTTGCCTCTCATCGTTTTTAGTTATATCGTTTTAAATTGAAATATATACAAAATTCATTGCTCACATTTTTTTATTTTTCATTCTAATATTTATTTCTCTCTTTTTTTGTTCAATATATTCTTCTTTTCTCTCTCATCATTTTCATCATCACATTTCTTCTTCTTTCCCCGTGTCTTCCCTTTTCATCTTATCATTTTTGCTTTGACATCCAACTCTTTCGTTTGATTCTTTTGCAAAACTTCAAAGACTCAAAACGAGAAAAAAATTTAAATTCAACAAAACAAAATGAAGACACAACAATAGACAAAAAAGACAAAAAATCTTACAAGAAAAATTTTCTCCTCTTTGTGCTGGTTTTTAAACAAACAAAAAGCAAAAACAAAATGCACATTAACATGATGTTATACCCTTTGGTTGTTCACCTTATTAATGAAATAATAATAACAATAATAATAATGATATTAATATTTAGCATATCCAATTGCAAATTGAAAAACTAAACAAAAGTCTTGACATTTATTTATTTTATAAATTTAATTTGAATAACTTCAACTTTTTCATCGTGATTAACAAGAAGAAAGGTAAGTAATGAAACCTGAGAAAACCCAAGCATGGAACAAAGAAAGTGGCTGATGAAAATAATGAGCTTCAGCAACAATTTCAGGAAAAGTATAATTATCTTCATTATAATTAGGTGTTGAGGTTTAAAGCGTCTTGTCAAGTAAATCAGTAAACCTTACCTCATCGTGTCATCAATGAACGGGAAAAGATCTAAAAGAGTCTCAACAAAAGAAAGAACAGAAAATTAATGAAAAGACAACTTTAATTGCATTCACAATCAATACTCGGTAACCATCATGACAATCATATCAGCTTCCCGCATCAATTTCAAGACTAATCTTTACTCAAGAACGATATTTTCGTTGATAAAACATTCGATCATAGATTATCAGAACTGATGAAAGACTGATTTCTCGATTTCTTTTTTGTTTAAATGAAAATTTTACAGTTTTGTGAGCGATTTGTTTCTCAATATTTTATCCAAGATGAAGCTTTAGCATAACCAGAATCTGAATGATTAACTTTTCCTTTTAGCATTGAGCTGATAAAGACTGGAATATGAAAATTTTTTGCTCGAAATTGATTCGTAATTTTGCAAATTCGAGAAATTTATTCTTGTTTAAACACTGGCAATATTGAATGATTATTCAAACAGAATCATGGATCGCATACTATAAGAAGGAAATGTTGCCCATGTTATGCTTTCAATTCAAGTTTATCTGATTATTATATTTATGAGGTAAACTGATTGTGGATGGAAAAACAAATGAATCAAAATAAAGTTAATATCAAGAGGAAAACAAATAGAAGTGGAAAAAGATGGCAAAAATTGTGATAATAATTTGCTCTTGTTTTTATCACCATCACATTATTAAAGGAATGGTAATAATGCTGATCAACATTGCAAGATATGACAATGTTGACTTGTTTACACTTGATTGATAAATAAAGATGTAAAAGTAACTCAACTGACCCACGATGGACAATAAAAGATAATGAAAAAGTCGATCATTTCGTTGCTCTCTTCACTCTGCGAGTCATTGACAAGATAAATTCATTTTTTGTAATAAATTGAAAAATATTGAATTACTAATAAAGAATGTGATTAGAATGTTTATAAAAAGTAAAGTTTCAACAAAAGTTGACCAACTCGGAGTGAGGCTGGGAGTGAGACTGGGAGTGTAAATGCCAACTCCCAGTGTTGCAAGTTTTTTTCACCAAATTTTATCTTGAAATCATTTCCATTTCAAACTGATGAATGTTTTTCCATTGAAATGAATTAATTTGCAAAAATATTCCATTGATATTAGATTATCTTTTTCCGCCAATTTATTCATTTCAATATTTTTCAAATTATCAACATTGAATCTCGAACTTTTTCCTCACAAATTTCAATCTATTAATTCAGGAAAAATTGAAACTCTTTTCACATTTGCATCTTTTTTTCTTCTTCTTCATTGGATTCTTTTATTCTCACTAATATATTTATTATTCCAATAAGTTGAGTATTCTTGTGGTTGAAGGCAAAAATAGATGATAATAACAAGATAATAACAAAGATGAATAGGAAAAAGTGACAATTGCACATGAAAATGAGAAAAACATTGAATAAAGAATTGTTAACAATAATTTAAATTAACAGTTAAATTTACGATTCGAGTAGAGATAATTAAATTAGGCTTAACCATGGAAAAGGGTTTTGCGTCTTTTCAATGTAATTCAAGAAGAGAAGTGCAAAAAGAAACAAAGTTTTTCTTTCCATGATAATGATGATGTTGATGATGAAGAGGATGGCAACAGTGAACAACAAACAATGGTAAACAAAAGTTTTACAATCATCATTAATTAAAAGAAGAGAAAAAAAGTCGAAAAATAATATTTTCTCCTTTTGAGGTGCAACAGCAAAAAGAGATTTGCCATTTTCAATGTAACTCTCAGTGAATGGAAACATTCATCAAACATCAATTTACTCATTAATCTGAGTTTACAAAAATTATACATTCAGTGGAAAGCAGAAACGGTACAACAGCAAAATTTTGTGAATTTGGAATCAAAATGTTTCTCTTTTCATTTTTACCACTCAAAAGTAATCAGATCATGTAAAGATGATGAGAAGGAGGAAATTATTAAAACCAACAATAGTTAACAATTAAACTTTTTTTCCTCCAATTTGTTCATCATTCAATTTTACTTTCATTTCCTACTAAATGAATATAATTAGCTTGATAATGATGGGTTAATTTATTATCTTGAACTCAACAAATGAGCCAACTTTTCATGTGCACTCAACAAAAAGTCAATATTTTATAGACTTTGTAAAAGAGAACAAAAATTTCGACAATTTTGGTAAATTTGAAGTCAAGTGTTCGAAGAGTTTTTCAGCAAAAATCATCTTCTTTCAATGGTTGACTTTCTTGATTCAAAGGTTGAGCAACGAATTTCCTTTTCCTCGAAATTTTCTACTTTCATCAGTTGCTGTTTCATCAGATTTTTGGGTGAATCTAATCAGCAAAGTGTAAAGTTGAAGAAGGAAAAATGATGAGATGAAGAAAAAAGGTTTTCCGAATAATTCCAATGGTGTTAATGAGCAAGTTTTATCATTTGGTTGTCATGTAACAATAATGAGAAGAAACAAAGTAAATTCATTTTTCCTTGAAAAAAGGTAAAACTTGAAATTCTAAAAACCGGCAATTCTTGAAACTCAATTATGATGCATTTGATGGAGTAATTGAAAAGGAATAAAAATTGAAATTCAAACTCATCTTGAATTCTGAACGTTTCCAGTAATGATTGTTTTTCAAATGTTTCACTCTACATCTGCATAAGTTTGAAATTAAATTGTTTTCATTGTGAGTTGCAAGGACAGTGAAGGTGCAAGTTGAACAATTTGGATGAAAATTTGATTTCAATGGGAATGGCGATAAGCGAAAATTGGAAACGGAACAACTATTTATCATCAATTGTTGAGATGAAAAGCAGGATGATGTGAACATGAAGAATCAGGAAAATGTATTGAAAAAGTGAAACAAAAAAGGAAGAAAAAAAAGAGAGAAAATGAAGAAAGTTTCAAGAATGGATGGTGAAATTGGTGAGATAAATTGGAAAAGATTGAGATGTATTTATGATAACTATTTATTGTTAGCCATTATCTAACATTTCAATGTTTCAACTTGAATAGGAAGAGGGAAAGAGGGAAGAAATGATGAAAAGAAAAGGAAGATAACTGGTCAATAGTGAAATACTTCTGAATAAGCATCTTTCTCTATCTTCATTGTCTTCTCACCGTTTGCTCCTCATCTTCGTCTTTACATTTAAGAACATTTCAGTTCAACTTTCTTTGCTCATCATCATTTCCTTCAAACTATGGGATGCCTTATGAAGTTAGATTTTGTCATTTGATTTGAGAAGCCTTAAGCGTATTATATTCATCACAATCCAAGTCTTATTTCATTTCTTCATCTTCTTTACTTTTCTTCTTACTTGACATTCTTCGCAAAGGGAAGACGGCAAAGAAGAAGAAGAAGAAAAGTAGAGAAGATGCTCAAATGAAAGGCAAAAATGAGTGAGCACAAGAAATGACCAAATGTAATAAACAGTCAATTGTATTAAGCTGTTACCTGGTCAAGAATTACATGAAGAAGGAGGATCCTAACACCACAGGAGACTCACTTATGGTTATTACTACATTTCTTGCTCCTTTTCCTTATCATCATGTTCAACTTAAAAGTCTTCATCTTGACATCATCATCTGTTTGTTGTTTTCATTTTCAGCTTGAAACGTTTTTAAGCGAAAAGCTCAGTGACATTGACGATTCAAGTCAATAATGTTACTTCCAATTAGCTCGTCACCTTGCAACTAGCTAAAGCTAATTTTCAAAGTAATAGAAAAAAATGGAAAATGAAAAGTTTTCCAAATCTTTTTCAATCGATACTTACATCAACCAACGATTGAGCAAGAAACATGGCCTTTTGCCCTTTCAGGACACTTTGAGCAATCAAAAGCAATTTGTCGAACCAGCAAATTATCAGTCGAAAACAATAGACTTTTCAAATTTTCTGAATCACAGTTAATCAGTTTTGATGAGAAAACAATGTTAACAAGTAAACATAATGAACCTTATCCAAGACGAAACAATCATCAAAAGCTGTAATGATAATGGTTTCCATTGTTTTCCGATTCCATCCTCAGTCTTTCCAAATGATTTATCCTTTCGATACAAATATTATCATAATTATTTTTCACTTTGATATATTTTCCCTCTTTCAACATTATCGAGTTCTAATGATACAAAACACTGGTTTGTCTTTTCTCGCAAATTGTATTCAATTATGCCTTCACTCAACTCAACTTTTGCCTCTTTTTCATTCTCTCTCTCTTCATTTCCATTCCCTGTCCAGATAATACGTCTTACTGATAATAGTAGGATAATGTGATAACTATGATGAAAATGACGATAATAATCATAATTGTAATGATAATGATAATAATAATAATGATGATGATGATGATGCTAATAATAATCTGATAATCTGATAAACTGATAATAAAAGAGCGTAATAGGAATGAATGCAATACATTTATTTGCTATTCGAGTTTTTCTTCTTTTTTTCGTTTCTACTCTTCATCCTAGTTCTGGATAATTTAAGAAGCTTAACATCGAAAAATGATGAACAAAAAGAGAATAAGAATGGAAGATGAAACTGATGGAGAAACAGTTGCATTACATTAGCTGGTTAAGTTGGAATCTTAAACAACGAATTCTTGAAATCATTCTCAGTATTCCATTGTTGAGCTAATTTTAATTCTATTCCATCTCATGGATCATTATCATTATTAAAAGTATCGGTCAATCTAGAAGAGATGATAGAAGGAAGAAAAAAGTTTTATTTTTTCTTCTTCTGCGCTTCAACTGGTGAATAATGATAATG